TATTTTCTTAATGTTATGGGATTCTAGGGTGGGTGTTATATCTAGATCGTGAATACAGCTATACTGTAAAACTGCTCGATCCGGAGCTGCTGAACCCTAAACCCTAAACCCTAAACCCTAAACCCTATGCAAAGGCCGCGAAGGCGGTGGACTTCAGTTTCGCGCTCCTCGTCTCGGGGTTTCACTTTTCTAGAGATTAGGATCAGGGATCGGGGTTTAGGGTTTAGGGTTTAGGGATTTTCACTTTTCTAGAGATTAGGATCAGGGATCGGGTTTTAGGGTTTAGGGTTTAGGGTTTAGGGATTTCACTTTTCGAGAGATTAGGATCAGGGTTTAGGGTTTAGGGCTTTCACTTTTTTTACCTGGGACTCTAATTACCTACAGTTTTATGGGTTCTGCCTACTAATTCAGGGTGCTAAACTGTAGGTAAAGAGAGTTACACACGCCTGGCTCTGAGGTTTAGGGCTTCATGCAGGGGGTGTTGGGCGGTTCAGGGTTTCGAGATAGTTACGTATTCTTAGGGTTTATCATGGGTTACCTAAACCCTAAACCTTTTTAGGGAGTAGGGTTTGGCGCTTAAAGTTGAGAAGGCTCGCTGGGCTTTGTATGCGTCTTGATGGGCGTGATGGTTTAGCGGTTTTAGCGCTTCGAGGTTTAGGGTTTAGGGTTTAGGGTTGTGAGAGCTATTTTCTGTACAAGTGCCCCGTTGACGACTTGGCAGCGAATCCAGGAATTGTGTTGGCTCCCATTCCTCGGATTCTTGCTACTGCTGTTCTTGCATATGCTCCACGTCTCAAAAGTTGTTGGATCTGGCATCCCGTGATGTGACGAATCTAGCTTCAAAGCATCCGAAGCCTGCAGCAATTCCTAAGGTAGAATCCCAGCCTGCAGCGACTCCCCTAACTCCGAACCCTGAGCCCCAAAAAGCAAAGCCTTCCCGGCACCTGCGCCATGCAAGTAGGCCTTGAACTCTAAGCCCCAAACATCCCTAAACGATAGCCTAGGACATTTTCAGGTGGGTAGTTACCGTTATAGGAGCCCTATCGAAGGTCTATATACCTTATAGAAGCCTTCTAGAAGCCCTATATACCCCGAGCTCCTCACCTGTAGTTTCCTTTAAGATAGAGTAAACCCTAAACCCTAAACCCAGGGCGCCATTTTCGGGGGTCGTCAATGCCCTGGAGCCCAAGACGGGGAATCTGCTCATTGATTGTGCGGCTGCACCTCGCCGATGTCTGAAGGGCTCGGGTTTAGGGTTTAGGTTTTAGGGTTTAGGGTTTAGGGTACTATAGAAGCCTAAATACTTACCCATATTACTCCTTAGGGTTCCTGACTATAGATACACTATCAAGGAACTTATAAACCATATTTCCCTGTCCAAAACCCTATTCCCCTGTTATATTTATACTATACCTAGCCCAAAACCCTACTCTAATTATTAAGGCCCTGAAATTGGGCTCGTAGTCTAGAGAGGCTTCAGAAAGAGGATTTGTAGTTGAAGCTCTTGGATTTCAGTGGGGTCTGGTCCAGTTGTGCTTGCTTTTCTGCATAGGGTTTAGGGTTTAGGGTTTAGGGTTTAGGGTTTAGGTTTACTTAAAAGGATCATGGGACTTAGTAAGTAGGGTTATAATTAGGGTAACTATACTGATAACCCCAATTAAGGGACTTATAGCCTTATTTACTAAGTCCCATGATACTCCAAGTAGGGTTTAGGGTTTAGGGTTCAGAGTTTGGATTAGAAGATTTAGCGCTGCCCTGGGTGGCTTCTTCCGTCTTCAAACCCTGCAGCTATACATCCTGATCCCCAAAGCTCTAACATGTGGGCAATAGTTGCCAGAATTAGGGTTACTACAAGGGTTGCTACATCTTACTGCCCGGGTGTTAGTCTAGAGTATAGGGGAATCTCGTTTCACTCTCTTTCGTCAGAGCTTCTGGCGGATAATGTAGGGTCCTTAAACATTACCTATATTATTTTGGGGTTCCTTATTATAACTATAATATAATGGGCCCCAAAACCCTATTCAAATCATTAAGGCCCCTGTATTCCACTAGACTCAACGGGTTGGGCTTTGGGGTTTGGTTCTTTCGGTTGAAAGCCTTCCCTCAGGGTCTGGTTTAGGGTTTAAGGTTTAGGGTTTAGGGTTTAGGGCCCAAGGGGCTCAATAATTAGGTGCTTAGATTTCCGGTAGTAGTTGTGGAGGTTGCTACTTGGGAGATTATCTGATTATTGGGTACTTGGACCCTTAGGGTTTAGGTGTTTGTCACGGGGTTTAGGGCTTGCCTTTGGCTTGATGGTTTAGGGTCTTAGTGTTCTTGTGGATTGAAGTGGCTGTGCGTCGCGTTCGTTGTTATTCCGAGTTTGGGGAATCCCAAATCCTGTCGCACCCCAACAGAGAAGGTTCCGAGCCCTGAACCCTTAGCGTTTTCTCCGTTAATCCCGAACCCCAGCGCCTGAATATTATAATATTATCACAATCCGGTAATCCCGAAACTGAGCCCTCAAGCACGAGCACCTACACCAGACAGAGCCCCGCAACGGGTCTCACGATCCTCCCAAAACCTGCAAAACCTGCAAATCTCAAGCATCTCGTCTAACTTGGTGGCTGAGTAGGTAACCTTTAACCTTTTGGGGCTCTTATGATCCCACTATAATTCAAAAGGTTAACCTTTTTGGGGCTAGGGTACTCAGCCCCTAAGAAAACCATACAACAAAAAGCGCCACACCCCAAACCCTGAACTCTAAGCGCAGCACATCCTGAGCGAAGCCACAATCTCAAAGCCCTATACTTTTAGGGTTTGGGGTTTAGGGTTTAGGGTGTTTCACTCCCCAAACTACAAACTAGGCATGTACACCTTGAGTCCTAAACCCTAAGCCTTAAACCCGTAATTCCAAAAGGTGAGGCAAACCATGCAGCCTCACAAAAAACAGAACCTTGAACCCTTCCTCCCGCAATGTGAGCCTTCACTTAAAGCCCTATAGACCCTGACCCTAAAAGTAAATGCCTAATGCCAGAAGGCGCGCCATCATTTTAGGCCCTAAACCTTGATTCGTTAACAAGGTGAGCCATCAGTTTGGGCGACCGGCCATGATCCAGCCAAAGGAGAATCCGATGAATGCGAAGGTTGGACGCCTGACGAGCCGAGGGATCCCCAGGGGTTAACAATATTTATAATATCATATATATATATATACACCCGTGTATATATATATATACATATATATATATATATATATACACATACATGTATGTACATATATATATATATACAGAAGTGTCTATATGTGTGTATATATATATATATGTATATAAATACAGTCTTTGTTGGTTCAAACTTGTAGGCTTGGCATCCGGACTGGTTGTCGAGTGTCATCATCGTGTTGCAGCTGATGTGCCCACGATTGGCATCGAATATCTTCAATGTACACCGGATAAGATATGACATTGTGCTGAGAAAGAGTTTCGTGCTTTGAAACATCACTTTGCATGCGTTGCTGTGTGCCATAAAGAAAATAACCTGCCGGTCTGGGGTTGTATAGTAATTGTTTCCCATAAGGGTTACTTGTTATTGGTCTGTCATGTTTTGAGATGTTAGAGGGCTTTTTGGTAGGGTCTCTACAAGGTTCTGCAGGATTACATGAACTGTCCAGGCATTTACCCGAAACCCTTAACCCTAAAGCCTAAACCCACAGTGTTTTGAGGGTCTATATGGGGTTCTGTTGGGCCTCAATGGGGTGTTGTAGAGTTCTCCGCTACAGGGTCTTTAGGGTTTAGGGTTTAGGGTTTAGAGCAGCATCCCCTTACAGCTTTATGAGGGTGCTGAAGAGTGTGCAGCTGTCTTTGCTTAGCCGTCTCCCTCCGTTTAGGGCTAAGGGTTCAGGGTGCCCGGAAATCTTGAACAATACACCACTAAACCCTAATCCTAAACCCTAAACCCTAAACCCTAAAACCTAAAAGCCTACACCCTAAAACCCTAAA